AAGAGTCGGGTGTTTTTGTCTGTTCCTTTCTTTTTTTTTGTCTTATTTGGTTCTGGGTGGGGTCTGCCATTTCTCTAGGGCCTATTCCGTCCCTCCCTTCCTCCTTCCCTTCATCCCAGGGTGATGCCTGGGGACACAGATTCTTCAGTCAGGTGAAGGGAGGCCTGGGCAGGAGGAAGAGAGATGTTGGGGACCTACTCTGGCAGTAGCGTAAAGACTTTCCTGCATCTCCCAGACCTCTCCTGCTCGCTGGAGAGAATCTCTGCAGCCAGCTGGCAGATTTTACTCTGGGGGAGGCTAGGAGGGTCCCATGGGGAGAGAGGGCAGCTGTTCCTGTCCACCCTCGTCCTTTGTGGAATGGAGCAAGCACAGATGCGAGCCTGGGCTATTCAGTGAGCGTGTGAGTCAGCAGGCACAAACCGATGCAAGTGGTCACGTGTGCAGATGTGTGTCACAGGCATTTTTTGGATGACTGAATGTGCAAAAGCATCTCGGTATGCCTTTATTTTTTGTATACCTCTATATTCAGAGTATTTTGGGGAAGGGAAATACTTTGCTTCCAAGGCGTTCTCCCCAAGATGCGGCCTCCTCCCACAGGCTTAATGTATCTGTCCTGGGCTGTATCTTGCCCTGATGCTCTACCAATCCTGGAGCAGGCAGATGGGAAGCAGAGGAGAGAGCTGGGGTTTTTTTGGTGGTTTGTTTTTTGTTTTTTTTTTAAACTCCTTTTTCACCCCTGCCCTCACAACACTGCACTGGCTTGGCCCACAGAAGCTGAAGCATCTTCCCTGCAGTACATGCTTCTGTCGGGGCTGGGATAAGCTGCAGGCGACTTAATCAGATGGTGGGAGTGTATGTTTACAAGTGCATGGTTTCTGATGTGCATGAGTGCTAACATGCATGGTTTTGGTATGCACGTGGGCGTTCGTTACCCGTATTGGGGGGGGAGGGGGACATAGTTGGGCTTGGTTATGCGTGCTTTCAGGAAATGATGGGATCCAGAAGCTATGATCTCTGTCTCGGCATGGATGACTTTTTGGGGAATTCACAGGAGAGGGCCAGGGACAGAATTGGCTCTGCATAGCAGTGCTATACACGTGGGACCATTGCGTGCCTCTCTGGCTGCCTCTGCAACCCTGTGGGCTGTGCCTGTTGCAGGGCTGCTGCTTACATGTGCTGGCTATTCCTTCTTGCTGTGGGGTAAAAGGGAGAGGAGAAGGGCAAAGCTCAGAGTCAGCAATGGGTGTTGTGGGGGAACACAAAACCTGTCAAGGCACAGGATTCATCTCTCTGCTCTTAGGGTATGAGGGAGCTCGTGGAAAAAGGGGCCATGGGCAGACTCCCCCTGGGGCCAAGAGACTGTTTTGGGACCATCGTGCAATCCAGAGAGCATGTGCAGCCCACACGTGCAGCTTAGGCCATGCAGACAAGACCATGCAGAGGAGAGGGGATCTAGGAGGACATTAGTTGCAGCTGGTTGGGCCAGTGTCTGCTCAGAGTTTGCCAGTAATGGGTAGTCAGGATCTGGCCTGTTGCTGTATTGGATTGTTTCAGCTCATTGAGGAGGCAGATCCATGTCACCACCCTTCCTTAGCAGATGGCTTGATGGGGTGCCCAGAGCCTAGGCTGTAGCGGGCAGAGGGTGAAAAACATGATGAACTTGCTCTGTGAGCCTTGCAGTGGAAAGACTGGCTCATGTTCCAAGCAGAAAAGTGAGGATCATATGGAGGAGGAAAACGCTGGCATAAGGAAGAGTGACTCTGACGTTAGGCCAGCTGTGCTGAAGCAGGAGGGTTTCCATTGCCATTAACTCACTCCATCAGGGCTCCATATTCCTGTGTTGTCCAGCCCATTCCCACCCTTGTGCCTCATTCCTATCTCTGTATCTCTCTTTCACCCTCCTATTCCCCTCTCTAAAGAAGTGAAAAACATAAGAAAAACAACTCGATTGCCTAATAAGACTGAGACTGGAACAGAATGAAGATGAACATGTTTTTCTGATCAAACTGAGATGGAGTTTATCTTGGCTTCTTCCACATCTTATGTGCCATAATGCCTGCTTAGAAGAACTGAAGGAACTCTTTTTTTTTGTTGTTGTTGGTTCTTGTTTGTTTGTTTGTTTGTTTTTTTAAATCACTGTTCTCACTTCTGCTGTGTCTTCCCCACAGGTAGAAAAGCTTTTGGGAACTGAACAGAGGGAGAAGCTTTGGTAGGCAGAATGCTCTTTCCCCCCCCCCCAAGGGAAGCCGTGGCTCTTCTAAGTCCAGACTTGTTGATGCAGCAGGAGGGACTCTTGTCACAGTCATGGAGTCCTTGTGCCAAGCGGCTGCATGGAGGTCTTGGGCATAGAGAGACTGTAGAGAAATGGGGACCCAGCTGAGAAAGGAAGAGCATGCGTTGAGCAAGATAAGAGCAGTAGCACTAAGGCTGCAGCACGAGGGGAACGTGCTTTCCCCAGGGGCAGCTGGAGGAGAGCAGGTGTGTTAGCTCATGGGATTCAGTAGCAGAAAATATGGAAGGAAGAAGCTATTTTTCATTTTTACTCTTGGAAGGGAGCCTGAGATCTACTCTCAGACCTTTGGCTTTGCCTTATCTCAGTGACAACAACACAAGCCCAGTGCCAGGCCTTGCTGAAGACAGGAGAGAGAAGTCAGTCTTTGCATGGGTGCTTTGGCAGCACCAGAGCCCTGTGAAGCAGGGGACAAAGTGCATGTGTGCTGAGGCTGAACCTCATTATCTTCTACAGTGGGAGCAGCCTCTCCCCTTATACCAGCCCTTCCTGTGCATGGGCATCCTTGGGGATTTTTAGTGCACTGCAAGTCATGTTTTCATTGCTGAGGTATAGCCCTTGTCTCTTGGGAGTTTCAGTTGAGCCCACAGGTGCAACATCTGGATCTCCTACTCCTGAAGTACAGCCTGTTGCCTTCTCTCCCCTCTCCTCCATTATTTGCTCCATCATTCTCTGCCTTTACCTCCGAATTGCCTCTCCCTTCTGTCCCCTTGGGCAGGAGGAGGAGGTCCTGCTGGAAGAGCAGCACCAGGGCTCTTCTGCAGGACTCTAGCCCTGTCCTCCTCCTGGACTTAGTCACTTCCTTATTCTTAGAAAATTAAATTTAAAACAGACTTCTGTTGTGGTGGGAGGAAGGGACTTTACAGATGAAACACTTTTTTTTTTTTTTTTTTTTTTTTTTTTTTTTTTTTTTTTTTTTTTTTTCCCCTCTTAAGAATCGTTTAAACATTTTTTGATTTAAGGCCAAACCAGTCAATGTTTCTGTCTAATTTGTCTGGCTAACCCTGTGTTTATTATCCCTAGGGAGTTAGTGCTTATCAGTAAAAATCTTCCTTCTTGTCCCTGGAGGGGACAGGGACTAGCAAGCTGACTTTTGCACAGTGATTTCTCAAGGTGGTGGCTTGCCCTCTGTCCAGCCTTGCCTGTACTGCTGTGCTGCGACCTGTGGCCAGCGTGCAGGGGGCACAGCCACCCTCCCAGACAACCTCCGCAAGAGGGAACCCAAAAGCATGTGGGCGTGTGGGGTGGTGAGAGAGGCAAAGGAGGAGGCAGGTTTGTATCAGATCCTCATTTCCCAACGCTGAACTCTTTGAGGTGAGCGTTGCAGCTCCTTGATCTTGTCTGAACCAGGTGCTGAAGTTTGAGAAGGGAAGGACTGAAAAAAAACCTTGTCCTGGGCTGGAACTGGGATCAGACCCCCGGAGCTTGGTGTCTGTTGGTTGTTACAGACCTGAGCAGCGAAGCAGCAGGCACGCGGCTTCTCTGGGAGCGAAGCCGTCTGGTGAAGGGCAGGAAAGCATCGCCAGCCTTTCCCTGCAGCCTTCTTCAGCTCTGTGCTTTTTCTTGCTCAAAATGTTTCCACCTTCAAATTAATTGGTGCAAAGGAGGGCCAGGTAGTAGGTGAAGCAGTGTGTGGCATCCCCAAGCCCTGTGCTTCTTTCTCTCTGCCCGTCTTTGTTCTTGCTTTTCACTGTGCTTTCCACCTAGAAAAGGGATTGTGTGCCCATGCATGGCTTTGGGGTGGGAAACTCATCTTCCTCCTTCACCCCAAGTGAAGGGAAGGATGTGGGCTTTGGTGGACCCGCAGCAGGTGAGCTTGCTAAAGCAGAGGGAACAGGGCAGGTCAGCCGTCTTTGCCCCTCAGATGACTGGGGGTAATGCCATACCCAAGTGACGGACAGAAAAGATGGGGTGGTTTTGTGCCTGTGTGTTCGGTATGAAGGATGACGTGCTCAAATCCGCTCTTGCTGTTGCTTTCTCTGATCCTTGTGTCCTGCTGAGGTGTTTGCTGTCGTGCAGCTCAGGCCAGCCTGCTCTTCATGTCTCTGTGGTAGGTAAATGAGGGGACCTTCTGGCCTCCAGGGAATGTATGAGTTGGGGTGGGGGGGAGAGTGTCAGAGCAGAATGGGTATTTGTTCCCCTCTGCCCTCCTTTGGTGTATCCTTGTGGGATGGTAGTGTTTTTTCCCCTCCCGAACATCCCCTGGGCTCTGTCCCTGTCTCCCAGCTCCTGATAGCAATCTCTGTGGCTGCTGTGCCTCTGCACTGTGAAGACACGTGTCCGGGGTCACCCCTGGTCTGGTTAGTGAATGCTGGTGGTGAGGAGGGAAGGGACGGCTTGTCTTGGCTTCACTGACCTAAAACCTTGGTGAGAAAGGAGGGAGGTGAGTGGGAGAATGGATCCCGAATCCCTCCATCGTTGTGTTCTCCCCATGCCCCCCCAAAAAAACTTCCTTCTGATTTCTCAGATATTGGACAAACTTGCTCTTATTATGGAAACAGAGGGGGAGCTGGGGGTAAGGGGGTGGCAGGAGGGGCTCAGATCTGGCACCAAGAAAGGAGAGCCGTTTCTAACGCAATACGCTGACATTTAAAGCTTTGGGGACTATAGATAATGGCTTAAGAAGGGATCTGAAATACTCTGAGGCTAAGAATTCAAACCACTGTTTTTTCCTTCCTGTGCTGATGATGA